TGGAGATCACAGAATCAAGTTTTCATTTTGGACGGTCCTTAGGCATGATGACATCTATAGTTAGCACAATTACAAAGCTAGCTATAATAATTACATGTGTATTTTCTACTTAGTTAAATCATCTATGCAGATTATTCTATTTAATCCTTCCAACACTTTTGAGGTAGGCTCTGTGATAGTTAAAGCCAGATGAAATGGTGTCCTGTAACCAAGCAGAAAACCCTCTTCATAAGATCTAATAATTCTTGAAGGCACAGTTAACATGTCAATTCCTTTGTAAAGTCATCCTCTATTTCTTCAAGGACAATTAATCACTGCTTTAAGTGCTTATAAAATCAAACCTTCATAACTGTTTTTGTAATGTGGTATCATTTTTTTTGTCAGTCCTGGGGCTTGAATTCAGGGCCTGGACACTGTCCCTGAGCTTCTTTTGCTCAAGGCTAGCACTCTACCACTTGAACCACAGTGCCACTTCTGGCTTTTTCTGTGTATGTGGTACCGAGGAATCAAATCCAGGAATCAAATCCACCTTCTCAGCCCCATCATGTGTATTTTTTTGTTTTGTCTACTATTATTTATGCTGTCTCTCTAACTACCCACACACCTTTGTAGATTATAAACTCCCTGAAGATACCTTTTATTCATTTTTTTGTATTCCTGTTATTTAGATCAGTGCTTGGCATATAATAGGAAATCAATGAACAATTAATAAATCAAGATGAATAGAATAGTTTATCTTTATCTGGATAACATACTGAAGTATTAGCCTCTGCATGAAGCATCAAATCAGAGTACAAGGCACTGTCATAATATAGTTTAATCACATAATTACATCACTATCTATGAGGAATGTGTACAGTGGTATTGTGGTAAATATTTAACAACTTTTTAAGAGTGGGGAGGATTTGTTTGCTTGCTTGATTGTTTTTGTTGCCTGTAGTGGGGCTTGAATTTAGGGTTTTGTACTTTTGTTCACTGGCTTCCTTGCTCAAGGCTGGTGCTTTATCAGTTGAGCCATGCATCTAGGCCATTGGAGCTTCTAATTAACAGACTTTCTACTTTCTGAATTATAAAAATTGCCACCATGGCAGATTTTAGTTTACCAAGTGCTCATTCTTAAGTGAAATATAGTACAAGGTGTGGGGTTTACAAACACAGCCATTATTGCACTAAGAATTCTCGAGACAATGTGCAAAGGAAAATAAAGTATATATAATTTAGTTGTCCAGAGAATTCTTTGAAATGTGCAACAGCAATAACAACTTAAGGTCAAAAAACCATAATCAGAGTAAAGGTAGCATTAGCATTTATCTAAAAACTATCTAAAAACATAATTTTTCCTGGAGAATTTGTAGACGATTATGACTTGCCAAAAGGTTTGTCTTTGTGGAAACACTATGTCAATTAGTGATCAGCATATCTTTAAGAAGTATCATTATTTATTTACTTCTTCTTCTTCTTTTTTTTTTTTTGCTAGTCCTGGGTCTTGACCTCAGGGCCTGGGCACTGTCCCACAGCTTCTTTTGTTCAAGGTTAACACTCTAACACTTGAGCCACAGTACTACTTCTGGCTTTTTCTGTTTATGTGGTACTGAGGAATTGAACCCAGGGCTTCACATATGCTAGGCAAGCACTCTACCACTAAGCCATCTTCCCAGCCCTATTTATTTACTTCTATTGATTACTCACAATTTTCAGAGACAGGACCTATGTTAGTTCTGCAACGAAAGTCTAGGTTTAGAAATCTCAGACTGCCACACAGAATTTATGCTATTTCCTTTAACAAAAATATGTTTACCATTTATTCTCCAGAATCAGTAACTTTTCACCCATTCTAACCTACCATTCACTAAAACTGTCCTAAAACCAAAAATCTATTTCACCACTCAATGAAATCTTTGGTTTTCTTTTTTCTCTCTTATTGATACCCCCATGTAATGGCATCTCTGATACTGTTACTCGTAGTTTTTTTTTTTCTATATCCCAGACTGTTCCTTCTTAATCTCTTCCTAGCCTAACTTTCCCTAATTAGATTCCATTTTCCTTTTTTTAATTATTTTTATTTTTGGTGAACATACTGTACAGAGGGGTTACAATTACATGGGCAAGATAATGAGTACATTTCTTTTATCAAGCATTGCAGCCTCCTCCTTTGTTTACCCTTCACATCCCTTCCCAGCCTCCACTTTCCTTAAATACTATCTTAAACCCTCTTTTATTTTCATTGTACACATTGTACACACAGAAGTGGGAATCTCTAACTGAAGTTTATATAAGGTCCACAAATTATCTGGATATTACTGGACAGACAGGAATGCTTCCAGTCTACCTCACTACTGGATATAACTAGACAGACAGGAGTGCTTCCAGTCTACCTCACTACTGGCTACCTGTGGCCATCTGCCTAGTTTTGTATGGCTCATGACTGATGTTAAGCAATGGCCCTTGGTCAAAAAAGTTCACCATCCTCTGCTCATTTTAATTATCACATAATGAATAAGTGATAGTTATCTTTTTTCCTTACCTCTCTCCCAAGCTTTAGACCTATATTCATACGTGCTAACAGGATATCTCTGAAGTATGGTTGGCAAGTCCATCAAAATCAATATGGTTAAAACCAAATTCATAGCTCATCCTGTCTCTATAGTCCCTAACTTCCTGCACTATCAGGCTCAGAATCCATGGTATCCAAAGATAAATTGGAGGTTATCTTTGACTTCTTCCCCAATATCTTCCATTTTAATCAGTTCAGGCAATTTTGCTTACTCATGTAATGGAAACAAAAATCACCTCAATATCACCTCAGCCAACTGAGAGTTGTGAGTTCTTGGTCTTTCATGTTGGTAATCAGAATATGTAATATCTACTTATCTAGGGAAGCTACTTGTGGCTGCCTACCCAATATGCTTTATCCTTCCCTGTCCTTTTACTAAAATAATCCAAACTTTCTTTTTTGGCCTAAAACCAAGAGCAAAATAAAACAACTTCATTTTTCAGGATCCTTTGTAATTAGGGTGATCATTAGTCAATTTTTACCGTTGAGCAGGAATTGAGAACAAGAGTTGAGGAGAGCAACAACTTTTCTAACTCAGTGGGCTGGCTTGGCTGGCCTTCCTTCTTATTCTGATAATTTAAGTAAGAACTTCTCAGTGCGGTAGCCATGCTGTGAAAATGGACCTGCAATGCAGAAGGCTTGGTGCTGTAAGTACTAATACAAGTGTTGGGCTTCTGTTTGGATTTCTTTTACATGGAAAAAAGAAAGTCTCTTATTTAGACAATTTTGTCATTTTTTTGTTATGAATAACTAAATGTAAGTCTGTCTGATACACTACTGTTCTTTGTATCAGAGAAAATATTAGGTTGGCTTATTTACTACAGGCTGGCTAACACTAAACCTGACTTGAAAATTTATGTTCATTCAAACTTCATATTTTTAACCTTTGTTAGTTTTTATAATTTTATTATTTTATACTTGACACAATAGAAAAAAGTTTTGAACCAAGGAAAATAACCCTTGACCATAACAGTAATAATAATTAATATTTGAATATTTTATTAACAACTTTCACATATTTTGTTATTTTCTTTTTCCCAGCATCTGATAAAATTACTTTTAAACATTTATGACTATATAAAACATGAACACTTAGCCATTCATCAGTTTAGATGTAGCTATATAAATTCAGTGATTTTATTTATTTCCAATAGTCTTAGTCTAAAATTTACTGCCAAAAAAGCCTTAAGTTGAGCCATGGCTAAAGTTGTAGAGTGCTAGCCTTGAGCACAAAAATTCAAGGATACTCACAGTATACACAATACTCATGACATAAACTAGTATTGTGCACCCAAAAATGTCTTGATCATTAAAATGTAATATTCTTTACTTCCTCCTTTGTTAGATCTCATAACTCCACTTACACCTAATTAAAATAGCTTAAAGAAATTCTTGTTGGGCACCAGTGGCTCAAACCTTGCTATTCAGGAAGCTGAGATCCAGAACTTTGCAGTTTGACACAACTCAGGCAGAAGTTGGTTAGATTTCATCTCCAAAAATATAGCCAACAAAATGCAGGGCTGGAAGTGTAACTCAATTTGAGATCCTGAGCTCAAACTTCAGTCCTGCCAAAAAATGGTTACTAAAAGAAATTTTGAACTGGGCTGGGAATGTGGCTTGGTGGTAGAGTGCTTGCCTAACATGCATGAAGCCCTGGGTTTGATTCCTCTGCACCACATAAGCAGAAAAGCCAGAAGTGGCACTGTGGTTCAAGTGGTAGAATGCTAGCCTTGAGCAAATGAAGCTCAGGAATAGTGCCCAGGCCCTGAGTTCAAGCCACAGGATTGGCAAAAAAACCAACAGAATAACTTTTGAACTCCTAATAATAATATTAATAATATGTATTTTGTTTTAATAACAGTAATAAACCAAATTCAATTAAATGATGTAAGGAAAAATATCTAAGAAAATGAAGATGATAACAGAAATTCTTAAATATTTTTCAAGGATTATAAGTTTCCTGTTTTGTTTTGTTTTTTGCCAGTCGTGGTGCCAGAACTCTGAGCCTGGGCACTATCCCTCAGCTCTTCAGCTCAAGGCTAGCGCTCTACCACTTGAGCCACAGCACCACTTCCAGCTTTTTCTGTTAATGTGGTGCTGAGGAATTGAATTGAGGGCCTCATGCATGCAAGGCAAGCACTCTACCACTGAGCCACCTTCCCAGCCCCAGAGTTATAAGTTTTATAAAATGAAAACAACCCTATAAGATTTGTTGTTTAGCTCTAGATCTCCTATATAACACAATAATGTGGGGTTTTGCTTTGAAATGATAATATCTATCCTTAAAGTCTGAGATACAAGCACATAATAAATTTGAACACTTAATAATTTCAAGGGGCCCTTGCTTTATATGTTTCTGTCTTGGCTAATTTGCACTCAGTGAAAGAAATCTAGAGGTTTCATATGACTGATCATCTTACAACTTTTAAAAAGAAAATTGTCTTGCCTTCGAATGGTAATCTTGTTCCAGTCTGGGGTCTGATCCAGCTACCTGTTTGTATTTGTTAATTTTCATTTGGCGATTTCTCTCCTCTATATCCATAGCACCTATTGAGTAGAAAAAAATCCATAAAATTAATGTTCAGTTCAGTTTTTTTTCTGAGTCCTACTTATAGGAGGTATAAAAGAAGAAATGCTACACTGATATATTACTTTGATTCAAAGTAGTATATATAAATTAAATGTCATGTGTTTTTTAGATTTATTTAAAGTATACAATGTAGTAAATAAAAGCATGACTAATTACTATGTTAAGTGATTTTAACTGAATAAAATATATATGACCTGAAAGAGAAGAAAACAAATCCTCCAAACTAGATGGAAAACACTTTCTGGAATTACCAATGTGCAAAAAGAATGTCTTTGATAACACAAAAATTTGACTAATAATAAAAGGATTTAGACTTATAACTCATCATATTTACTTGCATAAATATTTTAAGTCTATTGAGTTAAAGATGAAATTAGAAGCTAAATCATAAAATTAAGCTACATATTAAGACAGGTTGTCTCAGCATACTTGTGGATCTGGTTATCAGGAACTTTTGAAGTTAAATTTTCTAGAAAGGATCAAGAAAAATGCTTTACAATAACATTTTGTACAAGATACTATGCCAGTAAAGGCATAAAATATTACTGAAATGAATTTAGAAAGAAAATAGAATGGAAAGAGGTGGGAGGTGAAATGGTAAGCATAGTATAAAATGAGGTCAATGCTCCCTGAACTGGTGCTACCTCAAAAAAATGATCAAGTATGGCTTTAAAATCTTTCACTGGAATGGGAACTAAATTTTATGAATAAGTCCTATCAAACAGAGTAAAAGTTTAAAATACACTATTTATTAGGTAACTTCATAGGAATACTATATTTCTCTTATATATAGAAAATGGAAAAAAAGAAAATCTAAATCATACAGTACAAATTTATACAGTGTGCAAAATGGCTTGGTAGGCAGCCATAAAGCATGCTATCATGTAAATTCACAACACTATGTATAGATAGGAATATAAGCAAAAACATCTATGTCCCTTACTTAAGATACATAGACCAATGTATATCTATTGAATAAGTATTTTTAGTTCTTACTTGATTTTAAAAAATAGTATAAAAGAAAATGAGATTTAAAATTGTAGCAGAATAATTAAAGTTACAGTATACTATCCTGGGTCATATTTTAATGTTAATGTTTTAATTTTTAAAATATTACTTTTGATCTACACAATTTGTTGTACATTAGCTATATTAGTTAAAAACAAACTGTATATGAAAACAAGTTAATGAATGTAAGACAAAACAGAAGAAAATAAAAAGATTAAGATAATCCTGAAGAAAAGTATGTTTGAAGAGCTTATATTATATGCAAGTGCATATGGAAAATAGTATACATATCTACTAGTCTATGAAACTTCAAGTATGGAATTGTTTGAACTTTAAGAGATACTATCAGAAAAAGGATTTATTTTCTCCAATGACAAAGGAATTAGCAAGCAGAACATCAAAAAGAATTAGCATTGAAAGACAAATATAGTATGTAAAGTGTGTTCAAAAGACTTTGAACATTGAAAGACAAATACAGTACGTAAAGTGTGTTTGAAAGTTTCTAAAAGAAAAAAAAAAGTAATGTTGCTATCATATTATATGGCAAAATACTTCGTTAAATATGTATAGCACCAGTTTATAAGGAAATTTAGGAACATATAGACTCAGACACATAGATATACACATATGTGAATGATACACATTTTCTAATATTTATTATTTGCTATTTACTGGATAGCAACCTCCTATCCAGCTACATTAACTTCTGATTCAGAAATAGAGATGTGATGCACTGGCAGTAGTTGGTTCATCTTTTCTGTAAAGAGTTCAGTAGTAAATATTGTAGACCTTTTGAACCATATACAAACTTACTCTGATACAAGTTGGACACTGCATTTCAAAAGCAGCTACAATGCACATAAAATTGAGTGGCTGTGATTCAATAACAAATGCACAGCACAAATCATCCTGAATGGAGAAATCTGAAAGTCTTGCCTTTACTATGAAGCACAAGAAAAGGGTTTCCCCTTTCACTTCTCTTATTCAACTCAACACTTGAAATTTTATCAGAACTATGAGGCAAGTAAAATAAAAGGGATACAAATAGCAAAGGAAGAAACCAAACTATCTATATTTGCAAGAATAGATTCATAGGGTCTATATGTAGAAAATTCAAAATACTCTGCAAAAATCCTTCTAGAACTGAATAAAAATTCAGCAAAGTAGCAAAATAAAAAATCACCAAGAGTGAATTCCTTGAGAAAGAAACCCATTCACAAAAGCCCTAATAAAATAAAATAACTTGAAATAAACAACTCGGGGTGAAAGACTTTTACAATAAAAAAATTCAAAACACTGAAGACTAGAAGATGCAAAACCTTCCTACATTGGACTGGGAGAATCAGTGCAGTTCAAATGGCTAGATACACTGTAATCAAAAGCTGCTTTTTTGAATGGCAACTCCTTTGCACAACTAATTAAAAATAATAAAAATATTAATGTAAGTAAATAAAATAAATGACAATAGTAACAAAAGCTATCTACTGATGCTGTGCATACCTCATCAAAACACTAATGATACTCCTTGTAGGACTAGAAACAAAATCCAATTTAAATAGCTAAATCAATCCTGAGAAAAAAGATCAATGTAGAAGGCATCAGAATACCTAAAAATTTTAAAATATTACACATCATAAGAATAACAAAAAATAAAAATCATGATAATGGAATAACAGCAGTCATATAACCAGCGAAACAGGATGAAAGACAAAAAAAAAATAAGCCAACACATCTACAAAACTGATTATTGACAAAGGAACCAAAAAGATACAAAGAAGAAAGTACAGCCTCCTCAACAAATGGTGCTAGAAAAATTGTTAACTTGGAGAAGATTCAAACAAGACTCATTTCTCACTTTGTAAAACAAACAACGTCAACAAAAAAAGATTACAATAGATCAAAGCTCTTAATGAAATACACAAAAATTGAAACTGCTAGGAAAAAAGCAGAAGCTATTCAAGATATTGCTGTAGGTAAATATTTTCTGAATAGGATTCCAATAGCCTAAATAGATATAAAAGCCAAGAATGGACAAATAGAAATCATTAAATTAAAAAGAAAAGTCTGCACAACAAAGGAGACAACAACAAAATAGAAAAAGAACTTACAGAATGGAGAAAAAAATCTCTGCAGGCTATTCATCTGACAGAGAATTGCTATCCAGAATAAATAAAGTCAACATGCATATAAAAAAGATATCTGTAAAACCATGTACTTTGTGGCCCTATTCATAATAGATAAAGTATGAAATCAGCATAGATGCTTGTTAAGAAATGAATGGATAAGTTGTTGGAGGATTTAGTTTTTTGAGTTCTAAGTATATTTTAGATATGAGGCCCTTGTCTGTTGTGTGGCTAGTGAAGATCTCCCAATCCTTGGGCTTTCTATTGATCTTATTAGCTATGTCCTTTGCCATGCAAAAACTCTGCAGTTTCATGCAATCCCATGTGTCCAACCTTTCTTTGATTTGTTGTGTTTCTGGGTCTTTATTAAGAAAATTTTAGCCTGTGCCAAGGAGCGCCAGAGTTTCTCCTCCCTGTAATGTTTTCAGAGTGTCTGCTTTGACTTCGAAGTCTTTGATCCATTTGGAGTTGATTCTGGTGTACGGTGATATATGAGGAGAGCTTTAGTTTTCTACAGGTGTTTAACCAATTTTGCCAGCACCTTTTACTGAAGAGGCTGTCTTTCTTCTATTCTATTTTTTTAGCTCCCTTATGGAAGATTAAGTGGCTATGGGTCTGTGGGTTCATTTGGTCCTCAGATCTGTTCTTGTGCCAGTATCAAGCTGTTTTAATTACTATGGTTTTGTAGTAGAGTTTGAAATTTGGTATTGATATTTTTCCAGCACTGTTCTTTCTGGATTGTATTTGCTATCTGGGGTCTTTGTTGTTCCATATGAATGTTTGGATTGCTTCTTCTATTTCATTGAAAAAATGAGGGGGAGATATTGATAGGTATCATATTGAATTTGTAGATAGCTTTTGGCAGTATTGCCATTTTCACGATGTTAATCCTCCTATTCTGGGAGCATGGGAGGTTTTTCCACATCCTTAGTTCTGCTTTAATTTCCTTTTTCAGGTTTTTAAGATTTTCATCATAGAGGTCCTTCACTTCTTTAGTTAACTCCTAGGTATTTTATTTTTGTGGGGCTATTACAAAAGGATTAAAGAAAATATTGTATATATAAACAATGAAGCATTATCCAACCAAAAAGAATGATGATATAATTTGGAGGAAAATAGTTGGAATTGGAGGATGTCATGTTAAGTAATATAAGCTAGACATAGAAAGTCAAGTATCATGTTTTCATTCATACAGAGAGAGATAGAGAGGGAGAGAGAGATGAACTGAAAGTAGAAGAGGGAATACTAAGGGAATATTATGGAAGGGGAAGGGAAAGAAGATCAACAAATCAGTGGGAGGCAGGGATAAAAGGGAAAAAGGAATATGGGCATGACTAAAGGTTGATACATGCACATATGGAAAGAAACAGTGATATCCATTATTTTGTGTGTTTAGTATGCATTAATGGCTGTTTCCTTGAAAAGAAAACCTTATTTAAAAGTGTCATGCAAGATTCAACATACTGTCACTTCTAAAAGTGATCTTTTCCTTACTAATGGTTTTTAAATTACACAAGAATTAGTTATTTAAAATTACATTATTATATTTAACATAACTAGAATATGAAAGAATATTAATCTATACTTGTTTATGAGCAAATGAAAGTAGAGTGATACACTTAAATACATCAATTTAAATTCCAATCCTAAACAAATCTCTTATCTCCAGATCCAGTCATCACTTATATACAGTAACAAAGGTAAAAATCCTTGACCAAAAAAATCTTTAATCAACAAAATTTCACTCACAAATGTGAGTAAATACACCTTTTAATGTGTAAATTTAACTTTTCCTAGAAGAATAATCTGTGATAATAAGCATCTTA